GCGGCGGGGACTGTTGACGGGGCCTCCGTGCTATGGGGCACGGAGGCAGCAGTCTGGCGCCCGGACCTTGAGGCGAGGCAGGTCTGTTGCCTGCCAGGCGCACGCAGCCAGCATGTGACAGGCGGAGCGGAGCGGCCTCTTCCCTCGGGGGGTGACCAGCTCCACGTGGGGACAAACGGCCCGCTCTGTGCAAGGAGAGCGTGAAAAGGGAGGAAAGGGCAGCCAGAGCCAGAAACAGGGACAGTCTTGCTAGAGATGTTCAGGGACCCACCCATGCCCACCCCGAATGGCCTTTCCATAATAGTTGATACGGTAGGTCCTGCAGTTTTGAAAAATCCTGTCACGCACAAGCACCGGGGCGCAAACACAAGCAGCTTTGACGGGACTTCAGGCTGAGGCCGGGAAGATGAATATCAGCAAGCTCCAGTACCAGATCAAGGTCAGGGAACGTCTGGGGAGCAAGGAGAGGAGTCCAGACCAATCAGGCTGATGGCCAGGCAGCCATGGCACAGGGAGACGGCACCAGGGAGCGTGGAGTCGGCCGCCAGGGCTGAGGGGAGCCTCGGTCTACGGATCACAGGACCGACGGAGGAGTCGGGAGCCGGGCGGGTCACAGTGCAGGAAGTGAGTGGTCTGCCTGACATGGAGGCCCCTCGCCGTGAGGAGGGGGTGCCTGTGGCCAGGAGGCAGCAGAGGCGGGAAATTCAAGTAATGGGGAAATGGGAAGGACGCGGAGGCCTCGGTTTCCAGCGGCCAAGGCAAAGGGGAGTAAAGAAGTGGGGAACTGAGGGGTGTTGGAGAGGGCTCCACACTTCTCTCTGGGAGACTCAAAGATAGGTAGCAACGAAGGCTTCGGAAAAGAAACGTGGGGGTAGCGTGCTGATTTGCGAGCAGAACCGTGTCTCACAGGCAACACTGCACACTGTGCACAGCAGGTCTGCCACGAGCCTCTCGGTTCCTCTGCATTTCATACTGGTTGAAGCACTTGTTCCCTTCCAAGAAATATTGTCAATACTTACAAGCAGCTCTTGGGTTTCATTCTCCGCCTCTGCTTTATATGCCAGAATCCTTCCTCTCTCTCTACTCAGAATCTCCAGGCGACGATGGAACAGATCCTGAAGCGGGAACAGCAGTTCACTTTCGCTTCAGAGAGGGGAAAGGGAGTTGAACGAGATACTTTTGATTGCCTTCCATTTTTATCATGGTGGGGCCGGGGGGGGGGGGCAGGGGGCTCTCAGGCGCCTTCTGGATCCCAGGGCAACCTGGGCCTTCCCTTCATCCTGAGAGGCTACGGCTGCATTGCCCTGGGGGTGCGCATAGATGGCGAGTGCAGCATTTCTGTGCAGGCATTTCAGGCCGTGGGGAGGGATTCAAGAAGCAGAGTGGCGAAGCGGGGGCCCCTCCCCACGGCCAGCTCTTGGAAGCCGGAAAGTTCCGAGCCCCCGTGCCTCCCCCGCACAAGGATCTGAGCATCCTCAGCCCACACAAACGAAGAGCTTATGCCTCATCGTTGGACGGCGATCCGTCCAGCTGGGATCCTGCACAGGGAGTGGCCCAAGGGAGCAAGGCCTCCCTGCACTTCATTCAGCAGCGTCACCCTTCCAGTCCAGCTGTGCCCATGCGCAATTTCCTCTGATGGCAAAGTATCTCTTTGAAAAGAAATAAAGTGAAGCATACTTTATCTCTGGATATCGTAAAGATTGCAGCACCCGGAAACACACACAGAGGGCTGCAGGAGCCGGGAGCAACTGCAAGGAAAGGAAAAGGTGAAGGGAAAGCGCCTGAAGGCTGAAAGTCCTCGCAAGTATTCCATGCCTCAAGGAGCTTTGAGGGCACCCCCTTCCTTGCTGACGCCCCACTGGCTTTGCATCTGGAAGACCCAGCTGGGCTGGACACACACCTGCACACAAGCGACAGCTGTGGGATCGTGGCCCAGTGTCCGAATACAATTCTGTCCATTGTTTAGCTTTGCTGTATATTACTTCTGAATCTATCTTTCTTGCCTCCATACAGTTGTGTTTTGCGGACTCTTATTGCTTTCTAATGGCCTTTGGCTCTGCACAACAGAGATTAGGGGACACATCAGGGGAAAGGGCAGGCAGGGGGTTCTTAAAGGGCCTTGCCCACGCCCCACATGGCAGCTCTGACGAGAATCATGGACAACTGGTGCGCTGCTCTGGTTTGGAAGGAGGGGCAGAGGAGAAGAGGGGCCGGAGGGGCCCACCTGTGTGTCTGGGGCTGCATTCCCCTCTCTGCACTGTGCGTCGGTTTATGCGCCTCCATCACGTCCTCCCTCACCCGCCTCTTTCTTCTCCCCCCTCATCAAAGCAGGCACAAACCGTGGGATCTTCCCTCCCAGGGCAGTTCCTCTACCCCCTGGAACTTTTCAGCTGCTTTTCTCCAGCTCTACATCACCCCAGGATCTGGGTAGAAGTACAGGGTGCAGCTCGAAGAGAACAAATTAAACTACCACACACACACACACACACAATCCCAAGGCTTCTGAGGGTTCCTCTGGATGCTTCTTAGATAACAAAGAACATGCAAGTTAATAGCAATCATGCCTGGTCCCTCCAGAGACTTGTGCTTACAGGACAATACAGAAATGTAATAAGTCAATGGATCATTTAGCACCATTTTCCTATTGAGGTGTCTTCACAGAGACGATGCTTAGAGGAGCCTACAGGTATTTCTCCTCCCCATCAGAATGTACACGGATCTCCTACCTGGTACTCCTGGGACG